TGACACCCTCGACGGCGCCACTCAGGTTGACGCTGTCAGTCACGCGGTCGACGGTGGAGGTGACACCACCAACAACTGGGAGGCGGAGCTGGCGCCTGGCATTTCCAACTACCCTGACCTTGGTGACATCGCCAACGATGTCGGTAACAGGCTTGGTGAGGTCGGCAACGGGCCTGGTGAGGCCGTCGACAACCTGGGGCTGGCGCTTCTCCTTCACGAGGCCAGTGACGCCTTTGAGGTCGGCATCGTCAGTGACAAGACCGGTGACGGGGTCAACAGTCTTTCCGACGGTGCTGGTGAGGGATCCAACAGTGCCGCTGGCGGTGCCAGTGACGGAGCCGACTACGTTGCCGAGGCCAAGCTGAGGAGTAGGGGCCGAGAAGACGGATGCGGAGAACGCGAAGATGGAAACGGCGACGTAGGAACGCATTTTGACTGTGGGTCGGATGTATTAAAGAATTAAGTGGTATATAGTAGTATAATGAATGAGTGACAGTGATGGGAAGAGAGAGCGACTGTGATGCGTTGGATGATGATCTTGGTTACACCGGCTGGGGTGTATGATTTATATGCTTTGACGGTTTCCTTTAAGACGTCTGTTCCGATTCAGAGGCTCGTCGATCCTCCTCTCACCGTGCCCGTGAGCGCGTTGCTGTCCCTGCTCAGCTTGGTAGATCAGAGCCTAGTTTGATTTGACTTGGTGATGGTGGACAAAACTGGCAGCACGCTGCCGCATGGCTAGTCTAGGCAGAAAGCTCCGACGATCTTCATTACGATACTCCCGTCTTTACGATGGTCCAATTAAAAACAGTGCTGTAGGACGCTGGGGTGGTTAGTTTGGCTTAGTGGGTGAGGGAGCCACACGGGCTGTGGGGTGCAGAAGCCATGAGTCGTGCAGAGAGCAAGCAAGTCTTCCTTGTCCAGCAAGACTACATGGCGGGAGCTTGCGGTCAGTTTCGGCCGTCGAATTTTCCAATGCACTTAGTTGGAGTTTCAAACAGTTTAGTTGCCGCTACATGCTGTCAGACTGGTGGGGGATTGCGCTCAAGTGGTAGTTGAACATGGGAGTAGTGAAGAAAGAAGTTAGCGTAGTATGACGTCGGTCAAATTGTGTTTCAACTGTGCGAGGGTCGAAGGGCCGTGCAGTGGTTGAGGCGTAGGGGTATAACGTGCCCATGCAGGGACAGAACAGGAGCGTGGTGTTTTTTCTGCTGCTTGTCCCAGCGGGCGAACGGCGGTCCCCCCTGAAGATCTAGGGTGGCATGTGGAAAGTACTTAGTAAGTACTACGGTGTCTGCGCTAGGTGTCGATCATCCGCTTCCGGCAGCCTGCCTCAAACTAAGCACATCGGCAGTGCCTGTCTAGTAGCCTCTCTGCGCCAGCCAGGTACCACAAGTTTCTCTGTCTGGCCCTATCTGATCGCCGTGCTCCAGCAGCGTCGCGAGTCACTAGCGTGTTGGTCGCCAATCTACTGTCCCAACTGTCGTTGGCTGCAACTTGGAGAAACATGTACGGAAAAGGGATGGGGAAAAGGGAGACACCTGGTCAACGCAGTGAGATTTGGCCGAATACTAGCCACGTGGGGAATGCGATCAACAACGACCTTGACCAAAACGCACTCCCCACTGTTTCCGCCATCGACACGAGCACCACGCTGAGACATGCTGAGGAAGTTGCCGGCGGGGGACTCTCTTCCGTACACAATATTGCTCGTGAGATAAGCTACCACACAACTCTGTATTATTGATCCTCGTCCTTGATGTTGGCCTTATCTTGGCTCTGTCACGTGAAGAGGCCATTCATTGCTTCATTCGTCACTACAGTCCTGGTCAAACAACAGCTGATAGTGCTCAGCCCTCGAGAACTACCACCGCGCTACTTTGCAACTGAGACCACTACTAAGGCACTACGTGGGAATTGAGTTTTGGTGAACATTGTGACAGCATGGTGCGACTCAACGTGGCGCAAGATAGTGGAAAGTTTGGCGAAGCGGTACGCGCTGATAGCGAGCACTGGCGTCCTACGTAGCATTCTTGATTTTGTCCTCAGGCACTTGTTCGCGCAGAAGGAGACAATGAGGGATCCATCACTACCTCTTCAGGCTGCGCAGCGCAAATGAGAGAGTGCCTACCCGCTGCTCGTTGCGCGGCCCCTGCAAAATCACCTTCTCCACTTCCACGCGCATGAATTCTGGGGCTGCATCCCCTTTTCGCTCCACATCATCACTCAATCCAGATGACCCGTTTCCAGCCCTGTCACTGCAATCCTGCTGTCGTATCCCTATCTACGATGCAAAAGGCTGGAAAAAATCACTTCAGTTGTCACGAATACGAACAAATCTAGATTCATGCTTCAGAGTTACACACACAGCCTGAACAAAATCCATAACTAACTTTTCCAAGCCCACTAGGGCGAGATCTACATAATTACAAAGTGGAAACAGAAATGGCGTAATATCGTTACATTCATTCCGAGTCAGTCACGCAGCCCTGACTAGCATCCTTTACAAAACGCGCGTACTTGAAGAGCGTACCCTTCTGGTACTTGAGCGCAGGCGCGGTCCACTTCTTCCTCCTCTCCGCCAGCTCCTCTTCGCTGACAGAAATGTTCAGCTCATTCGATTCAGAATCAATCGTAATTTCGTCGCCATCCTGCACAAGGCCAATAGGACCTCCCTCTTGCGCTTCGGGCACAATGTGGCCAATCAAGAAGCCGTGACTGCCACCACTGAAGCGACCATCTGTGATGAGTGCAACATCCTTTCCAAGACCAGCACCCATGATGGCAGAGCTAGGTTTCAACATCTCCGGCATACCAGGGCCGCCCTTGGGTCCTTCATATCGGATCACCACAACAGTCTTCTCGCCCTTTTTGATCTCTCCGCGCTCAAGAGCGGTGATGAAATCGTCTTCGGCATCATAGCACTTTGCCTTTCCAGTGAACTGGGTGCCCTCCTTGCCAGTGATTTTGCCTACGCAACCACCAGGAGCAAGGGTTCCCCTCAGAATCTGCAAGTGACCAGTTGATTTCAAGGGCTCGCTAAGTGGCCTGATGATCTTCTGCTCAGCAGGGAAGTCCTTGACAGTCTCGAGGTTCTCCTTCAACTTCTTGCCAGTGACCGTCATCTGGTTACCGTCAAGGAGGCCCTCTTTCAACAAGAACTTGAGAAGTGACGGCGTGCCACCAATATCGTGAATGTCGGCCATGACGTACTTGCCAGAAGGCTTCAAGTCGGCCAACAATGGAATGCGGTCACTGACGCTCTGGAAGTCGTCAATGGTGAGCTTAAGGCCAACCGAGTCGGCAATAGCAATCAAGTGAAGAACAGCGTTGGTCGAGCCACCAGTGATACTGATGACAACCATAGCGTTCTCCAGCGCCTGGCGGGTGATGATATCGCTCGGTCGGATGTCTTCCTTGAGAAGATTCTTGATGGCGCCACCTGCCGCTAGACACTCGAGCATCTTAGCCTTGGAGTTGGCGGGGTTGGATGATGAGCCAGGCAGCGACATGCCCATGGTCTCAATCGCAGTAGCCATTGTGTTTGCTGTGTACATGCCTCCGCACGCACCCTGCCCATTGCATGCATGCCTGATGATGTCAAAGCGCTGGTCCTCAGTGATCTCGCCGGTGATGAATTGACCGTATGCCTGGAAAGCGGAGACGATGTCAATCTGCTGATTTTCGAGTGTCTTTGCGCAACCGGGCTGGATAGTTCCACCGTAGACCATGAGCGAAGGCCTGTTGACACGACCCATGGCCATGATAACACCGGGCATGTTCTTGTCACAGCCGGGAATGGAGATATTTGCATCGTACCACTGACCGCCCATGACCGTCTCGATAGAGTCGGCAATAATCTCACGCGACTGCAGCGAGTAGCGCATGCCTTTTGTGCCCATGGAAATACCATCACTGACTCCAATCGTGTTAAACTGCATGCCCAGCAGCCCCGCACGCTCTACACCCTCCTTGACCTTGTTATTCAGGTCCATCAGGTGCATGTTGCAGGGATTGCCAGAGTACCACACGGACGAGATGCCGACCTGGGCCTTGTTCATGTCCTCCTCACTCATGCCCGTGGCGTACAGCATGGCCTGCGAGGCGCCCTGCGACTTGGGCTGTGTAATGTGCTTGCTGACTGAATTGAGCTCATTGTCGGCTTTGGCGGTGCGGAGTGCGGAGCTGGAGAGGGCACGTCTGGGAGCCGTCAGTGTCAGTGTAGCATTGTCAGTTGCTATGGAAAACGTACGCTGCGTGCCATTGCGGCCGCGGTGAGCACCTCGCGCGCGCAAGAAGACCTCCAAAGCGTGCGAGAGACATTATGGCTGGCGGTTCACTTTCCCAGAGTGTCGCGGCATCAATTTATCGATGCGAGCTCGGAGGACGCGGAGTCGGACGCCTCTCCGTGCGGGCGGGCAGCCAATGAGGGGCAACGTGATGATGCACCGCGCTTTGATCGTCGGCCATCCATCATCATCGTTGAGAGCTACTATTTCATCATGTGGCCGCATTGTCTTCTACAATCACTTGTACCTACGAAGGCGAACCAACGCGTGTTACGTTCTGTCTCCTGTGAATGATGCATCGTCACAGGATAGCCGTTTCAATGATGGCTATTCATCGCCAGTTTACAGCCCGCGACAGTGCCTCCGTCAATGATGCAGCAATTCACTCTGATCGAGTTGACTATACATTGCTTATGTTCCCATGATTCTCCTAAGTCTTGTTGATACACAACATTCCTTTCTCCATCAATTTTCAGCGCCCAATTGGCCAGATGAAACGCCTTTTGATCAACTACCTCATTTTTCTATCAAGCTTTGCGCAGGCTGCAAGCAACATATACACGAGCTTCAACTATGGCGCATTTTGGAGCGTGGAAGCCAATGCGAAGAAGAAGGCCGACTTTCTCGATGGTTTCAACTTGGCCAAAAACCTAACAACTGACATACCATTCGACAGTGCGCGGCTGTTCACGTGCAAAACAGCTGGAACAGTAGACGGATTAACGGAAGCATTTGACGCCGCTGTGGAATCAAGCACTAACCTCTTGCTGGGCTTCTGGATAACACCAGCACGAAGTGGGGACTCGCCTGACGAGAATGTCAAGAATGAAATGGCAGCACTCGAGAAAGGGTTCAAAAAGCATGGCCAAGCACTTTCAGACCTCGTCATTGGACTCTCCGTAGGAAGCGAGGACATCTACCGCTCCGAAGCTGGCGAGCTAGGCCTTACAGCAGAGGTTGTTGGGCAGACTGTTGCTAAAGTCAAGGAGAGTATTGCTGCGTCACCCTTTGCTGAATACATGAAAAACAAGCCCATCGGACATGTAGACACTGCCAAATATGCCGTCATAGATAACGCTGATTTCATCGGCATGACTGCTTACCCATACTGGAATAAAGACAGCATCAATACAGCAAGTGGCAGCTTTCAACATTCTCTGGAAGACGTCAAGCAGCGGGCAGGCAACAGGCCAGTTTGGATCGCAGAAATGGGCTGGCCATCAACCGATACAGAGCAACATGGTGCAGCAATTGCAGGGATTGACGAACTACAAAAGTTCTGGACCGAAGTTGGATGTTTCGTTTTTGGCAAGTATACGACCTTTTGGTATGAGCTACTAAAAGACTCTACGCCTGACCAGAAAGCCGACTGGGGCCTGATTGATACGCTTTCGCGCAAGCCTCGCATCAAAGATCTCAGCTGCGGAGTCCCAAAGCAAAGTCGTCCGGCTGCCCCTTCGGCAAATTCGCAATTTACACTGCAGTCTTCCTCAGAGTCAAACGGGTTAAGTGGCTTCAAGGCGCCCGTTCCTTCAACTACGCTACCATCATCTAAGACACAGCCAAACCTCGGAATATCGGAAGCTACTATATCCCAGGTCAATCTGAGCACGACATAAATGACTGTATTCAAAACCACGACAATAACCTCGCAGCCCATACCTCACACACCAAAGATGTGGAGCAACACGCCGTTCTCAAGTATTGCCGCAGCACAAACGATTACACAATTCATAACGATTCTACCTCCTTCCACAAGAAAGACAACTTTAGATCGATCCTTTTCATGTTTCACAACTGCTAGTATGCCATGTACGTCGTCATTCAAATCATGAAACGCATCGTGCCACTAATAAACTTTAAGTATTGCCAAGCCGATCCACTGTCAGTTCTAGTAGTCACGCTACTCTTAGTGCCACCAAGATGACTATGAACCGTGCTAACCCTACTATAACGCCTCATCTGGCCACTTCGATCGTGAAGGAAAACTGGTGTGTCACAGTCGCCGATGTTGAGCGGAACGGCCAGCCGGGCATCGTCGCAGGTGGGCCTTCCGCACCAGGTGGAGAGTGTAGCTCACCACCGACCTTTTACGGGGTTTCATATGTAACAAGTGAAGCAGTGGTCACAGAGAAGCCATCAGACGTACCTGTTGGGAGGGCATGGTGCGTTACTATGGCTGATGTTGATAGAAATGGGCAGATGCTTCCAGTTGATGCAGGTCCAGCAATGTTGGTCGATGGGTGTAACGCTCCCTCGATGTATCAGTGGAAAGGAGGGATGGCTACATGACAAACGATTCAGATTTAACTTGGGACTAAATAGCAACTTTGATATTTAAATATGTGAGCTGCACATACGACAAAAAACCAGCAAAATGATGAATGAAGGTGAAAAGTTGTATATCGACGCCACATACAAACATAATATGTACATTGACCAAGACAGTAAGCAGAAGTAGAGTAGAGTTGATATCACATACAAGCAAAACATATCATTTCCCATACATCATCCATCCTATCCCCACTCAAACCGCCTTCCAAACCTCCGCATACCGATCATTCCCGGGGTCCCGATTCCTCTCATACTCACTCCGATCCGCAATCGTCTGCGCCATGTCCTCCCCAAAAACCTCCGCAATCCACGCATACGCCAGATCCGTACCCGCCGAGATACCAGAGCTAGTCCAGATATTCCCGTCAACCACCCATCGTGCTTTAGCCACCCAATTCACATTTGGATGCAAAACCTTGACCTACACCTCCGCGTCAGCCACCTCCTCGACGACCCACGAAGAACTACCAGATAATCAAAAAAAGGGGGGGGGAACGAAGGAGGCATGACTCACATTGTTAAAAGCCCGTTTATTCGATGTAGCCCTCCGTCCATCCAGCGCCCCGGTCCTCGCCAAAATCTCACTCCCCGTACAAACCGTAAGCACCCACTTCAACTTACCCTGGCCACTCAAATCCAGCTTCTTTAGATAGTCAATGAGAGGTCCCATGCGCTCCTCGCTACCCTCGCCCCGCGATCCCATGCCACCGGGAATAAGCAGGACATCGAGATCGTCGGGTGCCGAGTCGAAAGTGTGGGTTGGCACGAGCGACTGGGATATTTGCGAGCCTTGCTGGGCGTGCAGCGTGTTGTGCGTGGAGACTGGATCGAGGGTTGCGGCGAGGATGCTGAGGGAGATGTTGTGGGTGTAGCCTAGGATGTTGAAGGCGTCGAGTGGGCCTGCGACGTCGAGGAGTTGGAAGCCGGGGAAGAGGATGAGGCCGAATTTGGAGGGGAGGGGGGTGGTCGACATTATGGTTTCGGTGCCTTAACCTTGGAACGTGGGGGTTTTCTTTTTTGCTTTTCTTTTTTGCTTTTTCTTTGGAGAATAAGAGGATTGAACTGGGAAGGGTGGGGAGAAAGAGAGATCACTGTTGATACTTCATACATCGTATTATGCATGTGACTCAATAAGTACTTTTTGTAGAGACTACTATTAGTAAGCGATGAGGCTTGGTACCCCGTGGGGGAGCGCATTAGAGCTCGTTTCCGCCCGCGGATTTATTCTAATAACTCAGATCGAGTGGAAGAAGTCAATGGAGACGTTGCTGAGCATGATCACGGCATGGAAGTTGTCATAAAAGGCGTCATATTACAAAACGATTGAATGTACAACATTCTTACGACTGTCACCAACTACACGACACCATTCATATGCACACCCTGCTCTTCCTGCTGTTGTATCGTAAGCATCCGTCTGGCCCTATCAATCCTCTGTTTGGTAAGAATGTAGCTCTTCGGAATATCACCCTGTTGTATCATCTGCGCCTGCACTGCGCCAACGTCTTGTCCACCAATCTCTGCGAGCACCATGTCCACGATTGCCTTTCCACACAGTGTACCGTTTGGCATGCCATGGCCAGTATAACCACCGCAAAGCCACAAGCCATCTCTGTCCGGGACCTTTCCAACCCATGGGTGATTGTCACGGGAGTAGCCCATGATACCAGTCCATTGAGCAGCAGCCTTCAATTCTTTGAGACCTTCAGTCTTACCGTCAAGTTCGAGTACCTTGAGCAGAGCGCCTCGAAGATAGGCAGCAGATCCCTCGTCGATGATGCTGTCGTCCGAGATGCCTAGACTTGGGTAGTTTCCAGCTCCGCGGCCGCCACCAAACATGAGGTGACCGGCGGGGTTTGGCACACCCTCGAATGGTCTCTGGATAAGGTAGTCGTCGCTATGAGCAGGCTGACCGAGCGCAGCAACCATACCGTAGGAGTTTGGGAGGAGTGTCGACCCCTCTGGTGGGAACAAGGCGGACATCTCACCACGGCATGGAACGATAAGATCTGCAAAGTGGGGCAGGAGAGCTGAGGTGTAGCCATTTGTTGCGAGAATGACTGTCTTGCTGCTGATGGTACCGCGAGGTGTGTGTAGTGTATGTTTACCCTCAGAAGTCGTAACGTTTGTAACGGGGGTCTTGGTCTGGAGATTTACTCGGCCGTCTTGCACGAGCTTTTGTAGAATGAATGTGACCAGCTTGTATGGCCACAAGCTCGCTGCTCCCTCACTCAACGTCGCTGCTAGGCAGTCAGGCGAGACGCGATGCTTCTTGAGCTCCTCCTTGTCCTTGATCACTGTTACCTTTGCCGCTATCTCGGGCGCAACGTTGCGGAGATGCCGAAGCTCATTCTCAACCTCCTTTAGTGCCGCTTGATTCCAAAAAGTCCGACAGCCGGTCACGTCTCGCCATTCACATGGTACACTGTTATTCTGTATGTAGGATCGCACTGCAGCGACGTTCTTAAGTTCGAATCTGGCCACATCGCTAGATCTGTCGAATAAGAGGGGTTGACAGTGTCCACCGTTCTATAACTGGTTGTCAGCATGGATCCTGCAATCCTGCGTCAGATAACCCCAGGTCAGGCGTGTTCGAAATGCCGTGCACATGCGTATGCAATCACCCTAAGGACTTACCCTACCAGTAGCACCCCAACACGCCTCTCTCGCCTCAAGTATTACGATGCTCTTGCCATTGGCCCTTTCATCCTCAGCAAGGTATCTGGCCGCACTTGCACCCGTAATACCAGACCCCACAATAACGATGTCAGCCTCGGCAGGCAAGTTTTCCGTTGTGCGATGGCCGATAAGATATTCGTTTGGCTCGCTATGCCAGAAGGAGTCGGACGACGTGGGCGTCGGAAGGGTAGCGCGTTCCTGTCTCATGATGCGAAAGTAGATGGATGTATGTGGATAAAGTTGGAGAATTGTGGACTCGTAGTGGATTGAATAGAGTTCTTATATGCGTGCTTCTCTCCTTTACTCTTGAAAGACAATCCCCTGTGGTGACGAATCTTATCCCGAGGGCTCGGAATATGTTTGTTGTACCGACGCCTTTGGACTTCGTGGCGGCGTGGCGGAGGGGTAGTGGATCGTTGTTCGGAATACCAACTTAGGCTATCTACAAGATCATCCTGTTGCTCCGATAGCAGGACACACCGGGCGCTAATCGCTATAAGGCGCATCAAGAGTCGGAATCATCATTACAAATTGCTGGGAGTGTCGAACCAGTATAGGACAGTAAGACATGAAGGTACTCAAGAGGTTGGGTAATGTACAGAGGGGCAATTCAATCATGGTGCTTGAGTCATGACAGCCGACAGCTGGAGCATGCGCCGCGAGTCAGTACGTATGGCTGATTACGTAAACTGGGAGCGAGTCTACAATCAAAACCGCACAAGTTACCGCCACAGTAGTAAGACTGGAGGCGAGCTGGAGTTTCACGTAAGTATAGCTCTATACTTATATCATAGTCTGAGCAAGGAGGCTCCGATTTATTATGGGTTTACAAATTAGACTTATCTTACACTAATCCATATCGAAAAGAAAAGTATACCAATTTAACGTTGGTAAGCAGTATTCACCCATGCGATAGGAGGGATGGAAATGTTGAGGATAAGAGTATGAATTGGAACACCATGATCAAATTTGAGAAAGAGACATATCCGAGGTTTATCGCATTCGTTAGTCTGATAAGCGCTAGTTGTTCCTTCGCCCCTTGATGCGCATATGAATTGCTGAATCATAGACGAGCAAAAAAAAACGGGAGTATAAGTCCCTTCATTCTCTACCACCCTTGCTCATCTCTAACTCTGGAAGCAGACACCGCCGTTATTTCCGAGGCTCGAGCAGCAGCCGCTGAATCGACTCTGGCGTATTTGAAAGTTTCCTCCACTTGGGAAGACGCAATTGCCGGTTGAGTTGTCAAAGTCCGCTCGTTCCCGAGCTTGCTTCCAGCAATTTTCTCTAGATATAGCTGGGAGAGATCCTGATCCAACGCAATAACAGTTGTGGGTTGCCTAGACGCCGGAAATCCGTTAGCTGGGAAGATTTTTATGGATTTTTTTTTTTGAGAAGACGAGGACAAGATGTACGGAGACTGTGCTCGCGAGGAACAGAATGCTGGCTGCGAGACTGAACTTCATGATGGATTCGATTGTCGAAGGGCGGTATATGCAGCAGTGAAGCGAACGTTTATCACCGAACAGATTATTAACGCAGTAAAATGAAAAAAAGTGCCATGTAGCAAATTGAATAGCCTAATATATACAGAAAAACGTCCAACACTAAACTACCTATATCCCCTATTCACACGGTACTAGACACAAGCCGGAGGATTGCAACCAAGTCAAACGGCGCGCTTTGAGGAAATTTCACCGAATCTTAATTAACTTGGCTATCTTACACGACTACGTTCTATTTAGGACAGTAAATGAAAAACGAAAATAAGAAACTAATATGACGAGAGCTAATAAGAATGCGGTAATACATTGCCCGAGCCAGCTCAAACACGAATAATATTCCCCCCCGTGCCGTAGTAGCGTCAGTCATCAGACCATTTCTAGGCCCACCGTCTACTTGCGTCGTTGGAGGAAGTCCTTGGCCGAAGCAGTGACGGAATATCCGTTGAAAAGCCAGTCGTTTGAGTGCCGGCCCCGCCATGGGTCGCTACCGCTAGTGGTTCGCCTGCCTGTATCCTGGATAGTTGGTCTGGTACTCTGTCCTGATGTAGCTGCTGGACTTGGCGAAGTGGTAGAGCTGGCGGTAGATGCATGTCGTGAGTGTGATGGCATGGCCATAGGCGGCGACTTTGGTCGCTTGTCTGATGGGGCACCGCGAGAGCGACTTCGTGAACGGCCGCGAATTCGCGCTGTGATGGCACCGAAGAAGGACTCTTCGGTTGGAGATGTTGCCATGCGAGATGTTGGTGATGCTGGGGAATATGGTGGAGAGATTTGGCCCGATGATGATGATTGTGACTTTTGCGAATCGACTGTGTTTGTGCGGATGGGAAGGGGCATGGTTTGAGTGGGTGAGGCCATGCTGGCCACCCCTGTGTTCGAGAATGTCATAGTAGAGGGATACAAGCAGTGATGTTTATATTCAAGGTTATGAATCAGCCAAATGTTGGCACAGACAAATAAGATGACTGCAGAAGATGAGTGTGAGGCTCAACACCTGGCCGTCGGCTGGATTTATAACCCGCCCTATAGCCCGCTGCTCAGTCCTTGTCCTGTGAGTCCTTATTGCCGCTTGGCTTGGCGCATATCGCAGCTCTGTCGAGGTGACGGTGACGCTTTGCGTCCTCAAGTCGTTGCACCCAATCAGAGAGCACGCATAGTGCGCGGGGCAGTCGAATCGCCATGTTCCTTTGGAAAGCTCACCGACTCCCCACCTTTGAGCATCGGTCTGGAGGCCCACAGTCGCACTGCAAAGCCAACACATCTAGACAAAGTGCCAGGGCGTCGCGGGGGTGCCATTGTGCCATTCCGATATAAGGCTTAGCGGCACGTCAATCACTGCACATGGGATGCGACGGAACCACGATTTAGGGTCACCGGTTTTCAGGGATGCGCCCAGACTGTCCCACCACCATGGTTCCAAGTGTCCTTGGTGGCTATTGAAATTCATCTGCGCGGCTTGTTGCGTATGGATACTCGGCAAGAGCGAGATTGTCCAACAACGTGTTACCAATTGTTGCCGCGGTCTGTCACAAGCACCCAGAGTCCTGCAGGAATCTGCCGTGCCGTGTCCTCGAGGACTATCAGCGGATGCGCCTCAACATGCAAGTCGAGGGGATCAGGCGTGCCGGTACCAAAACATGCTCTCGAGTACCAAGCAATTTCCATCGGACCCGGCCACATCCTCAGCTCTGGCCCTCAATCTTGGTTCTCATACAACGCCTACAACATCTGGGTCAACAGTGGCCATGGCGCGATACCCCCGCATTCTGCGACTTGTCTGCATCCACGACATCGGCCAGACCGACGTCTGATGGTTTCGCAGCAGAGGCATGGCGCCGCACAAGTGCCAAGATCTGCACAATCAAGCCAGCAGACACCCACACGAAACCACCATGCAACTTTATCTTGCAATGTCCAATGTGATGTGAATGGCGTCTGGGGGTGTCAAGGCAGCCATGGTTTCCCCGGTCCTAGCTTCCACGTAACCACAAAAACATGCTCATATTGCATCGTGTGCATGCTGGGAAGGATAGACTCTTGACCATGAATGACTGTGCACAGTAGGCGCAAAAAAATACGCAGGGGTCTGGAAAGCGAGGAAGGGTTGCGGTGCCTTGGTTGTCCTCGCTTCCTTCCCCGGAGCAAAAAAGTCATAACGTTGCAATCGAGAGAAGGATGTTATGCATCNCTAGGAAACCGTACCGAACCCGGGCCAATTGCTTGGAAGGCAATTATCCTACCGTTGGACCAAGAATGCTTGATGGAAGTTTGCCAGGTATCATAATATATATAATGCAACAAACTTGCCGTCACGGTATCGCAAGGTGGTCTTCATCTCAGTCTTGGCGCACACGGTTGACTCCTTCGTAGTAGCATCGAACAATCAGGCTAGTACAAGCTCCTTCATCCGCAACCCTCAACTCCACGTCGATGTCATGTTTCTTCAAAAAAAAATCTATTCAATCTTTGTTTCTATGTATTATGCATCACCTAGAGGGTGTGGGTATAGGCTACAATCAAGAATTGCGTCAGGCTGATATCGTGATACAACTCACTAAACAAAATTCAATATTCACACTCGAGTCCTTGCGACAAAATCAGACCAAGCAAATATCTCTTCCAGAGATGCCAAGCCCTTCAACGCCCATGCAATGCGTAAATGATGCAAATTCGTATTTTCCATAGAACAATCAAATCCCCCATAAAGAGCTCACCATCCATACCGATTACCCGCCTCCCTCTTATTCCGGTGACTAGCAGCAAAATGATCCTCGAGTGCATCTTTCTGCGTAGTCGCAACGTTAACCAGACTGCGCAGACTGTTCTTTCCAGTACCAGAAATGGACTTGAGCGGGTTGTGCGATACTGCCTCGCCCTGCTGTCGCAGCCGTTCGTTGTGTGCGTACTCCTCGTCGGTATTGAATTCGACTATCTTTGCGCCTGAGAAGTCCGGTCCACCACGGCCCTTTTTGCCGAATAATTGGCGCCGTTCGGCTTCCGAGAGATTGAGCTCTGAGGCAATGTTTGTGAGGCCGTTACCAGTGGGGGTGTTGGCGGACGGTGCTGCATACTGAGTGGTGTAATTGGTCGAGTGTCCGTCAAAGGCCGCATCGGGCACAGGCGCATCCTCGTCCTGTTCCGCCCCGTACAACAGTGGTTGGTATTCTCCATCAGATGGTGTCGTGGTTGTAGGCTCTGCACCGCCTGATACGCCGAAAAGGGAGACTTTTGGCTTTTGCGGTTTTGTTTCTACAACAGATGGTTGTGGTGTCGATACTGTTATGCTTGTTGGACCAGCTGCCTCAGTTGACGCAAGCGCTGGGCGAGGCGCTACTGGTTTCTTCTTCTTTCCTTTGCCCACAGACATGGGCACGAAACGCGGCGCCGCAGGCTTCGGTGCTTGTTGCGGCTCCGCCTCCACTTTTGTGTCTTGCGCTGGCAACGCTGGTTTGACATCAGGCTTTGCCTGTGACTTTGGAGGCGGCAGATTCAGCATGGCCCTAAAGTCGTCCTTGTTCATCGGCTCCTTTTTGATTGGATTCCCAGTCTCGTCGTACTCTTCGGTATCCGCTCTTGGCTCCCGTTTAAAGGCAGGCTCAGCGCCAGTCTTTAAGCTGATGCCAGACGCAAGCCCTTTGCCGAGCCCTCTGCTCCCAGCTTTTGCGCCCTCGGCTGCTGCGATGGCATTCAGATTAGGCTTCTTTGGCGCAGGTAGCATCGCATTGAAACCGGCAAACGATGAGCCTCCTCCCAGGCGCGGCTTTTTCGCAGGCGGCGCGTCTCCCTGAATATCATCCTTGTCCTGTCGCGACTGCGATGCGCCTGGGAGATTGACTTTGATTCGTCCTGGGTTGGAGCGGTCGACGACTTTCTGAAAGGCGGGTTTCGAGGCGGGCTTGGCGGCGACTTGGGGCGCAGAGGGTGCCTCGCTGTCGGATTCCGAGTCGGAGTAACCAGCGAGGAGGTTCATGGTGGTGGAAGGGTCTTGGCGTGGGGTGAAGGTTGAGAGAGGGCTGTGGTCGGAAAGTTTACAGGACGATGAGATCACATCGGCGCGTCAACGGGTGCAGCAGCCAAGCCCAACCAGGGTCCAGGTACACATGCACATGCACTTCCCCACAGCCTCCACTTCTGCATCTCTGCCCATGGGCGTTTTATGATTCCCGTCAGCTGGTCTGAGCATACATAGCTTTCGATTCTGAGATGTTGATACCTTTACCCTGACCCTGCAACCATGTCCCTCCTCCAAAATGAAGAGTAAGCGGCCGCTCTCTTCGCGTCGCACTCCCAGATGACTGACGCATGTAGTTTCGTGCTGTACCAGCTTCGCACTGCCTACTTGGGCTCCATCAAGGACGGCGTGGGTGAGCGCCTGATCAATGTCGACTCGAGTGTTCTGAACAACCCAGCATTCCGTGCCGCTGGCTGGGTGCCCAATGCCTCCGACATCAAGCGCACCTACTCTCCACCGATTCCCACCGCCATCACCTCCGAGTACTTTCAGGCCCCGCGTTCGGCTGGCCTGAAGCCGCCCGATGGTTTCGGAGACGATGAAGAAGAGGGCGGCATGGTCACGGGAGCTGGAAGCAACGACACTGTGGGGCCAACCTTGAATGCGAAGCGCAGACGACGCAAGGAGCAGCTGGAGGAGGATGACAGTAGCGACCTTAGCGATGAGAGCGATGACGAGGATGACGCGCAAAGGTAGGCCAATATCCTGCGCTGCGACCTACAAACTGATGAAGCCCCAGACCAGCCAACCTGATCAAGTTCACCAAGATGCCCCTCCGCACCCGTTCTGGCTCGTCACCCATGCGTGGTTCAGCACTGCGCAACGAGCTTGCAGAAGCCGGAGAAGGGCCTTCACTTATGATTACTTCACCGTCGCGTCCGCCTGAGGAGATTCCACGTAGATCATCTTTGCCCACAGTCGAGTCGTCTAAAGGAAGGGCTAGGAGAGATACCATTACCAGCAGCGAAATGTCGTCAGAAAACGAGTTCGACAACTCATCCTTCAGGAAGAGACGAGTTAAGCCTCGAAAGGCTGCCAATGCAAACCATTCGCTTTCACAACGGAAAGATGAGTATCAAGGAGAGGCTACCGGTTCGCGCGGTCGTTTGGAAGCGCTGGACGAAGGCGACGAGTCTGATGATTCTTTGACATCTGAATTTTCTGGTTCTAATAGCAGTGCCTCCTTCATAGGTGTAGCCGGCGACCCTCTAGACTCTTCCCCTGCAGGCGGCGACCTTCCCACCATGCCTGGCTTGACACCTTTTCAAAACATGTCTCCCAAGAAGAAGAAGAACGAGCCAGTTCAGCCGACGCTCCAGGCCTTGCCTCCACCACGACCAATTAGTTTTGTGCTGCCCGTGAGTGCCCTGACCCAAGCAATTCGAGCCAAGGAGCAGAAACCGTCTGATCCCCTGCAACGTTTCGCTATGTGGAATGCTGCTAGTGAGGCTCAGCAAAACCCATTGTTCATCAAACTATACTGTCCATTCTCTTCAAAACCATCAAAGCCCATGGAGCTGCTGATTAGGAAGTTCAACGACAAAGGGGAGGGACCTACGGTGGCAGAGGCTATTGGATATGCGTTGCACCGCTACCAGGAAGAGAAGCTGGAACCGCCGTTGACAGCCGAACAGCTAAATGTCAACTGCTGGGTCATGCGCATGTATGACGATGGCGAGGTCGACGACGAATTCCCGCCGTTGACGAGGAACAAGCCACTGAAAGACTTTGCATCCAATAACGCTCGCGGTATGCGACCTCGTGCGAGGGACAAGCCTTGGGATGAGTTTGCGCTCGTTGCAGCGACACAGCGGGAGTTTGGCGAAAACGAGAAGCTTACGCCCATCTACAGTCAAGAAGCTGCCAGTGCTGTTGTATCGCAAGGCGATGGTGCCGACGGCCAGGAAGAGAGCGAGGAGAAGAAACCTGTAAAGCCCATGCCCAGCCGAGCGAAGAGCTTCCGAAATCCAATCACTGGCCCGTCTTTTGCACCAACGGCGACCCGTAAAGATACGAGTAACTTGGCAGATGTTCCAAAGGTGGCGCCATCGCATGCTGCCAGTCGCACTGGTGCCCCGAGGACGGTCAACATCCATTTCATCGATGAGAATTTCAACACCAAACACTTTTCATTGCCATGCACAACCGATACATATATCGCTGATCTATTCGACCAAGTATGTCACGATCTCCAGCTCGAAAAGGGCCTTTACATCCTCAAAGTAAGCGGCAGCACCACTGTAGCACCACCCGACCGCACCGTAGAAGCCCTAGACACACGCATGGATCTGGATCTCGTGCGCCGCCGCTTCGTAGGCGACGGCGTTTTCGGACTCTCAGGCTCCCCCGGGTCTTCGTCCCCCAACGCACCCCTCATCATCAGCACAGGAGGCGCCCCCAAGAAGACCAAAAAAGGCGACCGCACCCACGCCGCCGTCTCCGGCACAGGTCTCCTGCATCCCCTCGCCCGAACCGGCGACTCAGGGGCCCTTGCCCTCTCAACAACAAACTACTACCGCCGCTACGCCGTCCTCCGCAAGCAACCCATGTCCTTTGCCTCCTCCACCTCGCGCATCATCGCCCTCGACAACGAATACATCCACATCATGCCCGGCGAATCCAAAACCGGTGCCCGCGGCGGTTTCGGCGTCGAAACCCAGGGTAAAACTACTACCGTCCATTTTAGCAGCGTGGTGGGCAGCAAGGTGTCTAAGAAACACCCAAAAATGTTCAGGGTCATTGTGTTCAAGGAGAGGGAGACGAAGCGGTATGATTTTGAAGCGCAGAGCGTCGATGAAGCGGTCGAGATTGTGCGTGAGATTAAGAAGGGGGTTGAGCGGTTTCAGGAAGGGATTGTATAGGCCGGTGAGATGAGAATTTTTTGGGGTTGAAATTTGTTTGGTTTTGTTTGCTGCTCTTTCTTTTTTTTATAAAAAGTTGGGTATAGACGGTGGCAAGCTTTTTGTAAGGGGGAGCAGCTGATGTGATGATGATATTGGCGCGGCTATCTCTTTGGTGGGGTTGGTGTTTGGGACATTGCTAGCATTTATTCCAAAGTTACGAGAGATACCAAGGATTATGTAGATTCCTGTCTTTTTTCGTGTCTTGGACATTACAGACAGCAAGAAAAAAAGTATACAAAAGCACGATTTGTCAAAAAAAAAGATGTCAGTTCTTCTCGGACTAAAAAGTAATACGAAAGGTTAAGAGTTTATATTAACATCAACCTCGAAAAATATGTACACAAAATAGGGTTGTGATATAGACAGCATCGTTTCAACGCTTCCAATAAAAAGTGCGATTAAATCTCACACTTGATTCTACCTCCCAAAGTTGAACTCATCAGCACCATTCTTCCACTTTTCGAAAATCGCAACAGGAAACTGCTCAGCAAGGTGCTCGTAACCCACCGGCCCCGGATGAAGATAGTCACCACTATCATACTGGGGCGCGAGCTGACTGGGGATTTTAGGATCAGCAAGAAACTTGTCGAAATCAACAACGGCATCGAAGACGCCGCTGGTGCGGATAAACTCGTTGATACGCTGCCTTGTCTTTTCGCGCTCGGGGTTCGAGTAAGGCTGGCCGGTGAAGTTGGAAGGGGCGCTGAAGGGTGTGATGGTTGCGCCAAAGACGGGGATTCCGTGGGCGTGGATGAGGCTGACCATTTGCTTGTATGCTTGAATGAGGGAGGTGTAGATTTGGTTTTGAACGTCGGGGGTGGGAGGTGCACTGCCAATGTCGTTTACGCCCTCGAAGATCATGGCGTACTTGACGCCTGGGTGGGCCAAGATGTCGCGGTCGACACGACCAAAGGCATTTGGACCGAGGCCATCTGCGAGAATACGGTTTCCTCCTGCGGCGAGGTTGCCGATGGAGATGGGCTTTGTGGCTGGGCTCTTCTGGAGGCGGGCGAGGAGGAGGTTTGGCCATCGGTCGTTCTTGTTGGTGGTGGAGCCACGGCCGTCCGTAATACTATCACCAATGATCAGGAGAGAGCCGACGTTTTGTGGGACCCAGGCTTCGATCGACGAAATAAAATACCAGTGTGCTGCTGACTGGGTCGCTGGGTTAGTAATGGCAAGACTGGGTGCACTGACGGCGTTGCCGAATTGCCACCAGCTGGTTGTTCGGGATCCTGGATGGCTGGTGATGCTGTTTGTCGTCTGACCAGCTGCGAGATACATGGTCACGGTGATGACTTGTTGTGCCTTGATTGGGAAGTTGATGGGATCCGATACGGCAAGTGCGCCGTTGGGGACACTGATTCCATCTTCACCACCAAAGGTAACCTTTTGAAGTGTCTGGGGCTGGATGTCGTAGATACCAGCGGTCTGGTTTGCGGGAAGTGCAATGGTAACGGCAGTGATGGGGAGGTTGGAGCCACCAAAGACGTTTGTGAACTTCAGGCGGATCTGATTGGCGTCGGTGGTCACGTAGAGCGTCTGACGAACGGTACTATTGACGAAGACGGCGCCAGTTTGGTTCTGTGTGAGCTGGGTTAGACTGGTATTCACAACCACAGACGACAAAGTGTACGTACAAAAGGCGCTGGTGGTAGATTTGCTGGCTCAGTGAGCTGGGGCATCGTCGCAAATGCATCGACCCAGTGGCCGCCCGAAGGATTGGGACGGATGCTAGGCTTGTTATTTTGTCTACTGTCGATTGCATCGCAGTGAACGGATACTGCAGCGCTCGCAAGGAGCACTGCCAGCCTTGAGAAGATCATCTTGACTTGATCACTCTGTAATCGACAACAGTAAAGAACAACGATCGTACAAGCAGATCCAGGAGCCGGGACACAAGCATATTTAATACTTGACGGGAACACCTAAATTACGGAGGTCTGGGGGAACCCAGGGAGCTAGACAGGCATATTAGGTTAGCGCACGAACCGATCTACGGCCTGTTCCTGAATAGGCATACGTGCGGACGTCAGACTGTGGGGTTTGGCGGAGAGAGCGGATAAATTGGAGAGGCCGAAGAAAGTTGGTTGGTGGGCAGGAAGCTCTTTACCCATCGGTTGCAAACCGCGTAAACTATACAGTCGGCCATGGCTTGCAGGATCTTTAAGACTCGGGTATAATTATTCCGTCAGTACAAGTAGATGAGAAGAAGGCTGAAACAAGGAAAATCGTGTATCCGTATTCATTGGTATCGTATCAATCGAGGTAACAGAAAAAGACAACGCCGCCCATGCAATGCAATTGAAGAAACTGTTCCATCGGCCTGCAAAAGGGCCGCCCGTTGCTGTGGTCCCTTGCCTTGTGCGTAGGACCGGTAAAAGATCGCATTTGGTTAAAGAGGCGCCCGTAAGCAGGTAGCGTGGCGCATGAATCGAGGGACAAAATATGGGGCTTGGCGTCCCTCACATTGACGATGTTCTACTGCAACGCGCAAATAAGCCTCATCTGGTGGAAATTGTAAGGGTTGGCGTGGACCAAGGGCAGAATGGCAAATCTACATGTTTGCATCTAACAACCTCGTGGGAGTGGAGAGCCACTAGGCCGAGTTAAGATGCAAGTGGGTGGTGGCGCGCGTCTATGGTAGTCGAATGGCAGACAGGGAACCCGAAAGGACCCGCAGGGCAAACGGGGGGCTAGCAGCTTCTTTCTAGGCGACGGCACACATGACGTCGACGGGTGAGGCTGCAGCAAACGGCACGCTTGTGCGCAGAGGGCAGTACGGCATCAACATGTCTGTTTGGCTCAAAAGTCGTCGTCGCTGTCGGCCTTTTTCTTTTTCCGGCTCGACATCTTCTTCTTCTTGCCGTCGACTTCCATGTTGTCAGCCTCGCTCTTGTCGGGCGCATCGGCGACTTTTGAGACAATCTCGTTAAGGAAGTCGAAGCGGTCTGTCTTGGTAATTGCCTGCTTCAGGTGGATGGAGCCGACGCGCTTCGAGTTGCGCGACTTTGCCTCGGCGGCAGCCTTTGTGACGAGAGAGATCATGAAGAGCTCGAGGGCTTTTGCTGGGGGCGTGTTAGCAAACGCTGGCGCAGGCAAGCATGAGGGCGGGGGAGGGAAGAGGGGGGCCACGTACAAACAACAACGGGTGTGACCTGGGCGACCTTTCCGACGTCGTCATCTGCCTGCATGATGCGCTTTATGCGCGCGACAGGAAAGTGGTTCTTAATGGTGATGTGGTCGGTGTTGGGCAGGTCTGGGGCTGCAGACATGTGCGGGAGCGACGCGTCGGGGATGTAGTCTGCATCGTGCATGGCGTCCCCGCTGGCGAGATGGCGAGGCATGGGGCTCTGCAGCATGGGACGGGGGATGTACTGGGGCGGTGCCGGGTGCTGCTGGTGCTGGTAGTGGTGGTAGTGGTGGTGCTGCTGGTGGGCGTGGAAGGAAGATAAATCTGGCGACTGTGGTGGAGCCCAGGGCATAACGACAGGGGGCGGGCGCGAACTATGCGGGCGGTGAAATGCTTTTCTGCCACTGTGCCAGTCGTCACTTCCGCGCGCGAGGGCGGGGCATCCACCGCGCTTTATCTGCTCAAGGCTCCTTCCCGCCAAGACAATGTGGTACGTGCTTCTAGCTCCCCTGCGCCCGCACCATACAACTCTATCCCTTCCTCTTCTCCTCCTCCCCAGTGGATGACGATAACGAGCACGCCAGAGACCACGGCCGCGACTCCGCGCACACAGTTGGCGTCGCGGTGCCTGCCTCTGCCCGCAACGACGAAACCCGCCCAGGGCATACCCCACGGCTGCGGTTGATCGGCGCGCACAGGCAGGCGTCGCTGAGGCTGTAATTACTTGATCTAATCTGACACTATACAAGATACGTACAACACACTCTACACAGTACATAGCCGCCGCCCCCTCAGCCATCCTTGGTGATGCTGTCGTCCTCCTTGCGTCCTTCTCTGTGAGGCCCCTCGCGCAACCACGTCGTCGCAAGGCTGTTCTTGGGGTCATCTTCAGGGTACCCGCGCTGCCGCCGCACAGCGACCACCGCCTGCCGTACGCGCCTTGTGCACTCTTTGCGTATCTCCACGGCTTCTTTCGAGTACTTGAGCGAATCGTTGAGTATCCCGACCGCCAGCTGCTCACCCTTGGCTTGCTCCTTCGCCTGAAGCTGCTTCCACCGCCTGCGCAAGTCACCAAACACCTCTTCGGTATCGAGCTTTTCTCCAAACGTCACCCGCACGTTCTGAAATGGCCGCGGGATGAATCGTGGAAAGGTGCGTGTCTCGTGCATGATGTTGTCGAAGCCCTCCACGAAAATGGGCACAACGTCTGGCATCGGCTCGCTCTCCAGTATCAGCCGCGACACACCCCACTTGAAGTAGCGCATGATCCTCTGCTCGCTCTGGTGGATCATGCCCTCGGGAAAAATGTGAACCCACGCGTGCCGCCGGTTTCTGTACGCCGAGGGTGCGGGGAACGTGTCGTGGCCATTGGTAGAGAAGGTAAGGTGCCCGCCGCTAAAGGGATCAATGAGGTCTGGGCTCTTGAGTGATGTCGCAGGCTTCTCCGGAGGGTCTTGTTCGTGCAGAAAAGGTCCGCGGGACAATAGGCGGATCGCTTGCGTTATGGTAGGCTGGAACAGGCCGCCGTACTGCGAATGCGCAGAGCGGTGCGTGGGTAGAACTTGGCCGAAGGTGAAAAAAGTTGACAGCCCTCTGTCCCCCGTTAGTTATGCGACGGGCCATGAGCGGCAAGCGTACTTGTTCGTGAAGCACAAATCATAACTCCCAAGTCCCCAACGCAGATTATCCGGGTTGAACATGTAGCTGAGGGGAAGAATGCCCCATAGGATCGGATCGTCCATTCTGTTCCAATTGCATGAGCACAGTGCTTTGTCTTGCAAGATCAATGCCGTGGCAAACGTACGTACACGGAGATGTGGTTCGAAACTGCGAGGGCAATTAGCACAAACACATGGTCATGCAATTGGCTTCCTCGAATGCATACCAGTAATCAGTCCCCTCTCCCTCTTTGCAGGATCCTCTCTCTCATCGAGCAGCTGCAGAAACTCGTCCATGCCGTGAGTCTCAACCTTGCTCAGCCCAGCGAGAAACCCTTTGCACAAAAGCCCCACGGCGCCCATTGTGATCATGGAAGCAGCGCGCCATGGCCCACTGGGCGCCTCTGGCTGGTCCTCTGGTCGCATTGCGAGTGTTGTAGGTCAAAGAACGACATGTGCAGATTTCGCGTCCAGCGAGTGAGCAACAACCTTGCGCCCCAACGTCACTGGCCGCCTGCCCGCCAGGAACCAGGCAAGTTTGGCGACAGGGATTCCGGCAAGGCGGCCGGCACGTGCAGCCACTGGCTGGCTCTTCGTTGCCCGACCCTTTTCAGCTCTCCTGCACTACCCGATCCATGTCAGCATATCGACATCTCGTCGCAGTCTTGCTAATTCTTCCGTAACATTACCTGACTACATACACACAGTATCTGGTAGACTCAAACTTGGCACAAGCGCACGTGACCAACTGCAAGCGCGTCGCAAACTAGTACTACCTACATGGGTGCGAGACGCGCTTTGCCATTATCAACCATTTGCCTCTACTCCTGACCAACTCTTCTCACATCGCCTCAACATGCCACCACCAAAGACTGTATTTACATCGTATGAACGAAATTCGCTCAAGGATAGATGGGGTTCACAATCCACGCGCCTCACACGTGATTCATTCCTGCCATTCGGCTCCTGCCAGCTCTGTCTTCTTCCATCAGTAGATCCAGTATGCTGTTCGCAAGGCGACCTCTTTTGCCGGGAATGTGCCTTGACGAATCTCTTGGCGCAGAAAAACGAGATGAAGCGACTGGAAAGGCTCAACGAGCAGCAAAAGCTCGAAGAAGAGGAAAACAAGCTGCGCGAGGAAGAGGAGGCCAGGCTGCGAGCGGTAGAAGAGTTTGAGCTAGTCCAGCAAGGACTTTCTTTCAAGGCGGGATCATCAGCAAAAATGGTGGGAAGAGAGGGAGGCAAGATCGTGGTGGAAGAAGAGCAGGATCTCAAAGCAGCTGGTCAAGGGAGAGGCACGAAGCGAAAGTTTGAGATTGACGAGGAGGAGCTGAAGCGTATTGCGAACGAGGAACAGCGAAAAGCAAAGCGCAACCTGGACGAAGAACGCAAAGCTGCAAAAGGACATCTCCCGAGTTTCTGGGTACCAGGCGAAACACCCGATCAGCACCACAAGACTGCGGAGCAGGCGAAGAATACACCCATATGCCCATCCAGCTCCCCAGACCAGCCTCACAACCTATCTCTCAAAGGCCTTACGAGCGTTCATTTCAACGAAGAAAAGTCGACGGAGACCGGCAAACCTGTGCGCACGTGTCCGAGCTGCCAAAAGGCGTTGTCAAATAGCACAAAAGCCATGCTTGCTATCCCCTGCGGTCATGTTCTCTGCAAGCCCTGCGTCGACAAGTTCCTCACGCCAGAACACCGTCATCACCGCGACGCGCATGATGACGCCCCAGCACCAGATACGATACATTGTTATGTCTGCGATGCCGATCTCAGTGCCGGGCCGGATGCCAAGGAGGGAAAGAAGAAGAAAAAGAAGGAGCAGGCGCCTAAGCCGGGATTGGTCGAGATTCGGAGTGAAGGCACAGGGTTTGCGAGCGGCGGAAAAGCCATGGTTAAGAGAGAGGGTGTTGCTTTCCAGGTCTAGGGAGTGAAAGAAGTTGAAAGACATAGTCATTGGTAATCAATAAAAATCAAGGCCTAGGTGGATTTAACGCTCATCGAGTCATATCACCAACAGAGTAGAACACGACTCTAGATTCCAACTTTACCCGAGTTAATCCTGATGCCATGGACCATGTAGTCAAGAGAGATGGATGGACAGGATGAGTTCATAGGAAACAGTTTATTTACTGTACATGTCGAAATATCGTACTGCTACACATACAACCCCACGTGGAACAATTAGTCAAACACGCTCCCACGGCTCCACTTACTCGCCCTCCTAACCCTCTTGCCAAATACGTAAAACACAAACGGCACAGGAATAAGAAGCGCCGCAAACCCACCCGTGATGGAACTAGCCGGCCCAACACCAAGATTGTGATATAGCGGCGTAACGACTAGTGGGAACGCGCCTGCAAATACACTACGCAGAAACGTGTTTGCCGCCACTGCGCTCGCGGCGTACAGTGTGAACGTATCGACGAGGTAGTTGAGCGCAGCCTGGAAGATGGTAAAGAAACCTGTGCCCATTAGCACGAGGCCAATGACGGGTGCGATCCAGTGGAACTTTGGGTCCGCAGTCCATCCCATGATGAATTGGCCTGCGGAAAATAGAACGGAACCAAGCATCATGGGTGGCAAGCGGGCTTCAGGCACGGCTCTGTTGCCCGCCGCGTGGTATACTTTATTGTAGAGAATCTGGTTGTAAGCGTTGATGCTGCATCCGATGATTGCGCCGACCAAGAGGCCCAAAAAGGGCAGTGTAGCGCTGACTGCAGGCCACCCCCTTATTTCGCCAAAGATGATCGGGATGCCGCCTAGTTGCATGTACAAGATTCCGTAGCAGAAGCTCGCATACAGCGCGACGAGGAAGCAAATCGGTGTAGTGAGCAGCTGTATCGGGCGAAGCAAGAACTTCTTGGAAAGCTCCTTGACACTGACATCCCATTCCTCGAACTTGGTATGCAACGCCCAGTTGCCCGTCTCGTGCCGGAGCCGACGCGCCTTGTACACAAGTAGCTTGGGCGGATAGCATTCGTCGATAAAAACGACATCGATAAGCAGCGTCGTCGCCTGAAGAATGCCCGTAAAATACTCCGTCCACCGCCACCCCAACGACGGATCCGCAACAAACGCGGCAGAAACAATTGGGCCCAGGCACGGCCCCCCGACGACGGCCATTGCATACCCTGCCATTGCCATGGCCCGCCACGCCGGACTATACAAGTCGCCCAGCACACCCCCCGTATTCGTCACAGGCGCACTTGCAAAAAACGCCCCAAAAAACCGCGTAAGCATCAGCGTCTGGAAATCCTTTGCTGTCGCGCTGCCAAAGCTGAAACACATGGCTACGAACATTGGTGTGAGCACTGCGATCCTCCGCCCGTACACTTCGGACAATGGCGCCCAGAGTAGCGGGCCCAGTCCGAATCCGAACAAGAAAAGCGTAGTACCCAGCACAGCTACCTGGTTGCCTACATGGAACTCTGCGGCTATTTGTCTGGTGCCTGCGGAGTACGCAGACGAAGCCCAAGTTGCGCTCATGGTGGTGAGACCGTACATGAGTGTCGTCAGGACTTTCTTTTTCGTAGGCCAGTTGATGGGGCGATAGGGATCGTCTTCGCCGTCGAAATCGACGAGGACATCTGCGGCTGTGGGCTGGTGTGCTAGTGGGTGCGTAAATGGTGCTACGTTTGGTCGGGTCCGGATTCGCGAGAGGACAGTGTCTCGGCGGGATATGGTTCGGTTTAGGGATTGGTTTAGGCCAGTGGTTGTTGCTGGGCTGGTTCGTAGTTGGCTGCGTCGACTACGTGAGCGAGAAATGCTTTCTGCTAGTTCCCTTCGCGTGGGTCGGTGTCCGTCGTTTTGAGGGTCGTGGATGTCCGATTCGGTGTCGGTTGATATGGTTGACATTGATGATGCGCTTCTTCGTCTGGATCTAGATTTTCTTCCGCTCTCGAGATCCATGCTTGCGCTGGATTGTGATGACGCAGTTTCGTCTTGAGTTTTTTCTCTTTCAGGATCCATGGTATCAACCGTGATATGCTACGGCGAATCACTGAAGATAAGAATTTTTTGCCTATGGCTCTTCTCAGTTGGTCTTGTTATAGGCAGCGATGGGTGAATAATCGAGCACCCAGCCCACAATTTATCATCCATGAATGACATTCTCGCCATCAACGGACATAGACATCTCGGGTAAGTGTGACGTCAATTCCGCTTGCTAATCTGCTGGTCTAGCCTGAGCTAGTCTAGTATCTTCATGAGTATTCGCGTCGTTGCTGTATTTCCGCAAGGCTCGGAAAAATCCCCGGGATACGCAACCCATAGCAGCGCTCGTACGAAGATGAAGTTGAGCCGACCCCTCTCGCGGAACCGAAATGGCTGGACATCTCAGGCAAGCGAAAGAGCTAGTTTCTTATTGTTTTACCACTTGATTAACTCAACACGCAGCTGTACCTTTGTACACAAGGTCTAAGTCTCTAAAAACTTATCCGTCTGTGAAACTCGTATAGCGCTTTATTTT